GGCTAGCCTCGATTCCCGCAGGCTGGAGCCGACGCCAATAGGAAGCACACTCTTTTAAACCAGAAAAAGCCGTCGTGGGTAATGAAAGCGGTGGGGTCTCTGCTGTCCGGATGAAGGGTAACTTGGTAATATGCAGAAGCCAAGTCGAGCTTTGAGAAGAAACGAGCACCATTAAGAAAGCGCAGTAGCTCTTCCATATGAGGCAGGGGAAAGCTATCAACTACAATTGCTTTGTGGGGCTCTCAGGTCGCATAGGCGGATGCTGTCATTTTTTCTTGCAGATGACAACCAAAGGAAAAATTCATACAGAGTCATTAGCCCTTTCAATTGCGTCATCAGAGAGGAGCCGCTGAAGCTGGTTGCTCACTGGCTTGCGCAGGGAAAGTGGGAGGCGTCTCAGCTTCTGCACCACTGGAGGGACTGATGACTTTATTTTCACCTGATGCTGGACGCATTTCTCTATGCCAAGGCCCGATGAAAATAAGTGCTTGATAACTTAGCCCATAACAGAGGTGGCATATTGAACTTCGGCGGGCTTTCAGGAACTGCGCCGCCCGTACACGCAGATGTTACTGTTTCTTGACTCATGGTTTCTGAAGCTTCGGCAGTCATGCACAGGCAGCGTAGCTGTGTGCATACAATGTGCATTCCTAAAGCTTGCACAGTGTCCAGACCCAGAAGTGAAGTTCCTGCGGGGGTGACATGAGTGCTATCACGGCTGTTTCCCTTAAACGAAATGCTTGCTTTGGACTGGCCCATTATGGGGATCGTCCGGCATTGGAAGTCGAACAACGTAAGGGCAGAGCTGGTCAATTGAACCCCTTCGAACATGTTTCGAAATTCTTCTTCCCATATAATTGACACAGCTGATCCCGTGTCGACCAAAAACTTAGCGACGCGCGGTTCTGAGCTCGAGGCGACTGGCATGACTACTGCATCAATGTAAACGCCCTTGCACCTGTCTTCATAAGCAGTGAGTAGGCTAATGACGCCTGATGCATCCTGTTCAGAAACTACTTCTTGGATGCAAGTCGGGCGTTGTCCTCGTGCTCTGCGTGAGCTACGACACATTCGCATGAAGTGGCCACAGCGGCCGCATGCGAAGCAGGTTCTACGGCGAGCGGGACATGCCGTCGGTTCACAGTGACGTGTGCCGCAATTTCCACAAGTCTGCATATTTTTGCTGTACTGAACATCGGCAGCTTCGGTATCTGAAGATGGCGAGGTCGTTTGGCGAGCGTGCGGCAAGCTAGGGCGGCTCTGATAAAGGGTGCGTGCCTTGTTGCTGTACCGGCTACTATCGTGCGTGCTTCGTTCGGAAGCGTCATACTGACATGGGTGTTGGCATGTGATGCGCTCAACAGAATTAGAAAAAGCTTCCGACTGCAGCTGGGCTCGCTCGCTGAGTAGGGTAATTTCAACTGCACGGTTGAATGTCAACGTGTCGCCCTCCAAGAGTAACCGTGATCCCAACTGCGTGGATGCAACTCCGGTAACGAACTGATAGCACATATTATCGTTGGCTCGCTCGGCGAAATTACAAGAAGCTGCCAGTTTGCGAAGCGCGAGGACGAAGTCGTAGATTGACTCACCATGCAGCTGATGGTGGCCTCAAAAGGGATGTAATTCTAGGCGAATGTTGCGCCGCCCCAATGAAAGGTCGTTCCAGAATTTTGCGGGCCGCGTCGTATACATCTGGGAGACTCACTGCCGCTTTTTGTTTGGGGACAACACCATGGTCTTTGCCTTCACGGGTTGAGGTAGGGGCGGCGGCTAACACCTCAGTCGTCAGTAGCTGCGGTGTGATGGGCGTGGGTGGAAGCGCATCGAAAATACATCGTTCTTCAGGGCCCAGGCAGTGCAACAGCAGGGCTCGCGGGGGACTGCAGGCAGGTCAGCAGCTCCAAACGCAAGAAGAAAATTCTCATAGGGGTGTATCAAGCGGGTCCATGGTATGGCTGGAGTGCCCGGGGTGGGGCGAAAGGGGGGTGGCGGCAAAAGTGCGCCAAAAGCCATCGCGGTGTGATCGAAATTCTCGTCGCCAGATTGTAGTGTCGGCAACACGGCACGATTGAGGATAGCATATACACTCAACCCATGCCACAAAAGAACTGCTTTATTCCGGTGACAGTCGTATTTACACATGTCAGAGGTGGCACCATCTCTTGATGACAGTGTGACATAACTAATGTCGCCTAGTGTCGACCTTCGACACTACAGAAGTATTCAAAATGAACAATAAATATTAGTCAGCATGCAACCTCTTGTAAAGATGCTTTCGCTGCAGTGTAGTGGTGCAAAGCAGTGAAAGAATTTATTCGAATGTACATTAGTTCAAATTGAACCCTTTGTAAAAAGGTTTTCACTGCAGTGAGAGAGTGAGAAAAACTAGCCACCCTGTTTACGAGGTGTCTCCTGACGGGAAGAGTACCAGAGTCCTGGAAGAACGCTAACATCATCGTAATACATAAGAAAGGAGATGACAATCACTTGAAGAATCACAGGCCGATCAGCTTGCTCTCTGTAATATACAAACTATTTACAAAGGTAAATTGCTAACAGAGTAAAGAAAACATTAGAATTCAATCAACCAAAGTAACAAGCAGGATTTCAAACAGGCTACTCAACAATTGACCAAATTCATACTATAAATCAGGTTATAGAGAAATGCTCAGAATACAACCAACCACTATACATAGCCTTCGTAGATTTCGAGAAGGCGTTTGATTCAGTAGAAATATCAGCCGTCATGCAGACACTGCAAAATCAGGGCGTCGATGAAGTATATATAAACATACTGGAAGAAATCTACACGGGATCAACTGCTACCATAGTGCTTCATAAAAAAAGCAACAGAATACCAATCAAGAAGGGTGTAAGGCAGGGGGACACAATCTCCCCAATGCTATTTACTGCGTGCTTACAGGAGGTTTTCAGAAGCCTAGAATGGGAACAATTAGGGATAAGAGTTAATGGAGAGTACCTTAGTAACCCGCGCTTCGCCGATGACATTGCATTGCTGAGTAACTCGGGGGACGAATTGCAACTCATGATTACGGAGTTGGACAAGGAGAGCAGAAAGGTGGGTCTTAAAATTAATCTGCAGAAAACGAAAGTAATGTACAACATCCTCGGAAAAGAGCAGCGCTTCGAGATAGGAAATAGTGCACTTCAAGTTGTAAAAGACTATGTCTACTTAGGGCAGGTAATAACCACGGAGCCAAACCACAAGATTGAAGTAACTCGAAGTATAAGAATTGGGTGGAGCACATTTGGCAAGCGCTCTCAAATTATGACAGATAGATTGCCACTATCCCTCAAGAGGAAGGTATATAACAGCTGATCCCGGCTGTGGCGGCTGCATTTCCGATGGAGGCGGAAATGTTGTAGGCCCGTGTACTCAGATTTGGGTGCACGTTAAAGAATCCCAGGTGGTCAAAATTTCCGGAGCCCTCCACTACGGGGTCTCTCATAATCAAAATGGTGGTTTTGGGACGTTAAACCCCACATATCAAATTATATAACAGCTGTATCTTGCTGGTACTTAGCTATGGAGCAGAAACCTGGAGACATACAAAGAGGGTTCAGCTTAAATTGCGGACGAGGCAGCGAGCAATGGAAAGAAATATGGTAGGTGTAACCTTAAGAGACAAGAAGAAAGCAGACTGGATTAGGGAACAAAGCAGGGTTAAAGATATCATAGTTGAAATCAAGAAGAGGAAATGGACATGGGCCGAGCATCTAGCGCGTAGGCAGGATAACCGCTGGTCATTAAGGGTAAGTGACTGAATTCCCAGAGAAGGCAAGCGGGTTAGGGGGAGACAGATGGTTAGGTGGGCAGATGAGATTAAGAAGTTTGCGGGTATAAATTGGCAGCAGCAAGCACAGGACCGGGTTAACTGGCGGAACATGGGAGAGGCCTTTGTCCTGCAGTGGACGTAGTCAGGCTGATGATGATGATGATGATGAGAGAGTGCAATGCCATGAAAACACATATCCAGGAGAAATATGCACTGTCGCAAAGCCTCCTTTTAAAGTTAAATGACCATATTACCCCACACTGATTCATCGTTTCTTTTTTTTTTTTTCAAGTTTAATAGCTTGTCATGGCAACTAATATTCTCTAAGTATAGTAAATTTCAATAAAACACAACATATGTTACAGGGTATCACTTGCATTCTTTCGAAAGTCAAATCCTGCGACCATTCAAAGTTGTTTCCTCTTCCTTTGAACCAAAAAGAAGGGCATGTGCACAGGCCTTGTTTCAATTTTTTATAAATAATATACAGGTTAGTTGGGTCATGACTAATCTGCCCTTTATTTTTTTTAATATCGGATAAGTGCTATTTGAATTTCATTCGAAATTGTTCGACCAAAATTACTGTTCACTTCGAATTTGATTGGAACCTAAAATTCATTATTCGCACAAGCCTAGTGTTGCTACAGTTTTTACATAAGGGGCGATGTTTCAGGGTTCACATTGGTGTTCTCAGTAATATGCTATACTTCTACATCAGGCCATATAGTAGGTAGCAGCACCGTTTATTTTTGATGATGACACTAACGTTATGTTCTTTAACTAGAATTGAATGAGTAAAGTTGTGCAGGGCACACATTTTGGTGGAGGCGACATGCTTGAGTCCCTTGTACTGCGTGATGTCGTTGCATGTTAAGGAACCCCTTGTTGATATAAATTACTCGAAGCCCTCCAGTACGGCATTTATTGCAGCCTGACTCACTCTGGGACATCTAAATCTTAAAAACCAGCCAACTAGCTGATCCAGTTCTTGCACATGTTTTTTTAAGCTAAGTATTGACATTTCCTGCTTATTTTATTACAATTATTAGCCTCAGTTGAAGTATAAAGCATTTAATGCATTACATTGCAATATTTAATATTAAATTAATCATCGTGAAAAGGAGAGTTCACATTGTGCCTAGCAGATTATTGTGTGTGCTAGCTGCCTCCTTTGTTCTACTTTTCTCTCTTCTTCTGCAGGCATACGCTGTTCAGGACCCTGAGGTGGGCTACTGTCAAGGGCTGTCCTTCCTTGCTGCTGCCCTACTACTTCATGTAAGCAATCAAAATGTGATGTCCCCTAGAAAGCATACTCTCTAAGCAGAGACAAAGCAGGCTCCACTTTGAATAGGTAAAAAAGCAGCCTAAAGTATTGTATTTCTGATCACATGGCACACAGTCATGTAATCTTTTTAGCAGCTTTGTGCATCAGGTAAAGTGCCACTTGTCCCACTTGGAATTTCATTTTTGTAGACTGCTCGAAAAATAAACCATGCATTCTGAGAATCTGATGTGGCTGAATGAATGAAGCTTGGTGTTAGATGAGTCGGCATTAAATTACTGACAGCAATGGAAGTGCCAGCGCCTCAATCGTAAACTGCGTTTCAAAATCGCAGAAGTTTTGGAGTGCACTAACGAATATGCTCGTAAACTTGCAGCAAAAAGCTGGGTGCAGTTCTGCGACTCGATGAGAAATACCTTAAGCACGATGAAGACATGGGCTATGTTGCGAAGCTTGCTCGGCCCTGGTAGCACTAAATTTACGGTGTCCAGGACGATTCAGAGCTTGGTGGGTGCTTTCGCAGGCACAGAGGAACAGCTTTTGAAAATTCTTCATTCGACATACGTGGGCGACGCCAGCGGCCCGCCACGCACGCTTGGATACGAGGGCACGCCAAATGCAGCACTGGATGAACCTATCACAAGGGCTAAACTTTTTGCGGCGGTACAATCTGCGAAATCTAACACAACATCGGGACCCGATCGAGTTACTAACACCATGTTACGAAACCTTAGTGATGACTGCCTCGAACTTGTCCGCTATTTTAATGAGCACACTTGGAAGCCTGGGATTGTTCTGCCAGAATGGACAGAGGCCACAATTGTACTAATCCCCAAGCATGGGAAAACCCCCATCTTACAGAATCTCCATCCAATTTTGCTCACATCCTGCCTCGGCAAACTCTTCGAGAAAGTTATTCAGACACGCCTATGACACTATCTCGAGGAACGGGGTTTTTTCTCTACCCACATGTATGGTTTGTTCCACAACCTCTCAACACAAGCCCTTTTCCTCCGGCTTCGGGATGAAGTATTACGCGACATTCCCTCGGGCACAGGACACATCTTGGTTGTTCTCGACCTAAAAAGTGCGTTTGATACAATGGGCCACAACCTCATCTTGCAGGAGCTCAGCTCCTGCAACTGTGGGAAAAAATATACCGCTATATTCAGTCTTTCTTCACCGATTGGACTGCAACAATAGGCTTATTAGATATTAAATCATTGGCTTTTCATATATTCAACAGAGGAACGCCTCAAGGTGCCATATTATCTCCTTTACTCTGTAATACTGGGATGGCCCGCCCTGCCTGACAGCTCGAGTCTCTACCAGACTTGGGATACGCCCCGTATGCCAATGATATAACCCTCTGGGCGACCCGAGGCTCTCTCGGCCACAAGAAAACTACTCTCCAAGAAGCAGCTCAGAGAGTGCATCTCTTTGCGGAGAGCTGTGGTATGAGTTGCTCACCAGAAAAATCTTAATTTGTCGGGTGCATGATTACCGAAGTAAACCACCATTCGCACTGAAAGTAGGTGACCATTCCATACGAGAGGTGGCGTGTACACCTATACTTGGTCTCTGGGTACAGGAAAATAGGCATGTGGACCACACCCTCAGAACTCTTTGCACTTCTGTTAAACAAATTGTGCACATGGTACACAGAGTGACGCATAATCGTAAAGGCTTTGGAGAGGCGGGCACACTTCGTATAATCCAAGCCTTCGTAGAGAGAGAGAGAGATCGAGAAAAAGGAAGGCCGGGAGTTTAACCAGATATTGGCATCCGGTTTGCTACCGAGCACAGGGGGTGGGGGAATAGGGGCAAGAAAAAGGGGTAGATATAGAGGGAAAAAAAAAATGCACGTGCACACATGAGAAAACAAAAACACACACAGGAAGGGTATTCTGGCTACAACCGTTCAGAAAAGCTGGTCGATCGCCAAAAGTACAATAGCGCTCTCAGGGCCTTCTTCTGTGAAGTTGCACCTTTTCGATATTCTAAAACTCTTTCCTCCCACAGAGGTTGATTATCTAATTTGCTGAGTTCCTTGTGTAGGCATAGTCATTGTCTACTATACTCTAGGCAGTCACAAAAGATATGTTGGATGGTTTCTTTTTTGCCACAGTGGCCACAGGCTGCGGTGTCGGCCATCCTAATGTGGAAAGCGTAGGCGTTGTTAAACGCAACGCCCAACCACAGCCTACATAAAAGAATATGGTCTGCTCGGCAAAGCCTCAACGGGACTTGAAGACTTAACGTAGGGTCAAGCGAGTACAGTCGGGCATGCTTGAAGTGTGGCTGATTGCATTGTGATGTGGTTTGCTGGCGAGCAAGCCAGCGGAGCTTTCGTGCAGCATCTGCCCTAAAAAGTGGTAGTTGCAGTTCATGGTCTTCTGCGTGGGCTGAGCGAGCAGCTTGATTGGCCCGTAATTAACAGAATAACGTACGCCATACCAAGAGCTCAGTAAGACAAATTGAACAAGTGGATACCCTCATTTGTACCGCCTTTAAGGCCGCCTCTGGCCTACCAATGGGAACATCCACAGATCGGCCTCTTGCCTTGGGGATCTACAACACCTTCGAGGAGCTTAGGGTCGCGTCTTCATCTCGCAGTGAGAAAGACTTAGCGTCTCACCCACAGGTAGGGAAATATTACGTGGCTTAGGATATCCTGCACGGCCCCGATACAGTGACAAGGAACTCGTGCCCCTTTCCGCTCGTATTTGTGTCCAAATACATATCCCCAAGTGGTTGAAATTTCTGGAGCTCTCCACTAGGCATCTCTCATAATCATATAGTGGTTTCAGGACATTAACTCTTTCGGGACCGTCCGAAAAAGGGATGAAAAAGAAAGGTGTGGGTAAAAATTTTTTTATTATATGAAACAAAAGTACTACACTACTTTATCATACACCAAAATGCAAGTTATTGAATGGTTTTTAACATACAAAACAAATGTTTTACCTAAACATTGCACATAACAAATAAAAAAATCTGAAAGTAAGAACTTAGAGAAAAAAAACACAAAAAAGTTTAAAAAGTGTAAACACAGAAATTTTCAACAAAAATAAAATTATTTGAGAATATACAAAATGTGGCAAAATGCTTTCTTTCTTGATCGTAAAAGTTTGGTGTGGCTAGGAGTAACGGTTTTTTGTGTGAGCCCTTTGGCACTAGGTACCAGCACTTGCACATGTGCCTAGGTTGGCGTTGCACGACGCGTGTGCCACTCGCCGAAGCAGTTCCGGACTGAGGTGAAACACAGGTGAACTTGGCACGTGTCACAAAAAACGTTTGTTTTGAGCTCGACTTTGGTGCGTTCGTAGCACAACTTGCAGTTCTTACGTTTTTGGACTTTTTGTGGTTTGTGGTCCGCATGTTTTGGAGTGGGTGGTGGAGGAGATCGAGCTTGTTTGCCATCAAAGCCAAAAATCTGCTCAAGAAGCTCTTCTCTGAAGGCCAGATGATCATACCCGGCTTTTCGACTGAGCTCACGGATCTCCGGATGTGATGCACGATGTGCTTGAAAAAGCACAAAACTGTTCACGCAGGCAATGTCGATGCAATGAAAAAGTAACGTCTTCCACCACCGCACACTTCGCATCAAGACGTTGCAGTAACCAATCATTTGATCCGACTTATCTACTCCCAGCATTCCAGAGTTGTATTCGTCAGTCAGCAATGGCTTGGGCACTGATACTTCAGTCCAGGTGTTACCACTCCGCACTCGTCTTTTTGCAACAACTTTCTTGTTGGCAGTGTGGATGGTGCTGATCATATTTACAACGTGTCAATCTTTCCACTGAAGGTAAAGGATGTTGCCATCTCGCATCCATCGAATGTCCCCACGTTTGGCTTTTTTTTCCCAACGTGGCTCCTTCAGTTCTTTGGGAAATCCTCGGCGATCTTTGCGCGTTGTTCCACAAGCCAATGTTTTATGGTCAAGAAGGTAATCAAAGAGGTGCGTCGAAGTGTAAAAATTGTCCATAAAAATTTTGTATCCCTGATCAAAGTATGAGAAACACAGATCGCACACTACATCAAAAGCCAAGCCATGAGGCCCCGGCTGCACACGGCGGCCAGTGTAGACACTGAACTGCACAGTGTATCCTGTATCAGGGTCAGCTAGCACCCACAGCTTGTATCCCCATTTAGTCACCTTATCTTTTAGGTATTGACGAATTCCAGACCTCCCTTTTGATTTTACTATGCGCTCGTTCACGGAGAGATCTCGATTGGGCTGGAAGAGCTGTGCTGACACTTGGTTGATGTTCTCAAGAAGCCACCACATGTATCGCAGCTTTCCTTTTGACTGTTGGTTCGGATCATCCAAGTCCGGAATTTGGAGGAGCGCTAGCAAAGCGATAAATCGCTTTCGGGGCATGATGCGTCGTGCAAGGAGACCACTATAAAGACTTCCTACGTTCCAGTAAAGTTTAAATCTTGGAACCTTCACGATCCCCATGTAAATCACCAGCCCAATGAACTTCAGCAGTTCACTGGGGGTGACTTCCTCCCACGAACCATCTGGCGGAGAGTGCGTCGGTTTTTCAAGAATGCGGGTCCATGCATACTTGTTTGTGTTTTCGCAAATCATTGCAACAACTTCCGCAGAAAAAAACAGAAGAAATAAATCCAGGGCAGTCGAAAACTTCTTCGTCCCGCTTCTCAGGGCCATGGCGACGTCATCGCCCAGGTAGACACCGGGCTGTCTTCTTGGCGAAAACTCAATCCGCTTCTGCACTGGTGGCAGGAGATCACCACCATAGGTGGTTGACACCCTAGCGAACAGATATAAATCAGCGAGAACATATACCGAGTTCACATAGCTACTCGAGAGCCAACTGAAAGCGAAACCAACACTCACCTTCCAGCCCCGCTTGAAGTTCCCGGCTGATCAGCCCCTGAATCCTCACTTGATGTAAAATCTGAGCTCGTAACTTCACATTCTGAGTCATCACTGCCGCTTTCATCGCTAAAATCTACTGTG